ACACTTGTATAACTTCCACATTCCTTCTCATACAAGACTGAGCCTACTACTACTGTTCCAAGACTGTATTCAACATGCTAAGATAATGTAAGTGTCCCAGGACTTTGTATACCATAAGAACATAGCTTTGAACCAAGGTAAATACACATATATTCTGCATTATATTATTACAAGCACATATACCTTACTGTTTTACTTAGGTGCAAAGCATAGAGCTGAGCAAATCAATAATAGAACCACTATATTCTACTCACACAACTGTAAACATCCTCAGATTGAGTCACAATTGCCCTCAACATCTACTGTCAGCAACAGCATAGAGGGGACCCGAAGGCTCAGCAAGGGGACCCAGGCTACAACTATCCTACACAACAGAAATACAGAACGTGAGCACTGGAACGTAGTCGGAACTCGCAGAACAGGCAGAGAGAGAGAGTGAGACAAGAGTAGGGTATATAGAGTGAGCCTAAGAGTACAGGACTACCTAGAGTAGACAAGATCAAGACTACAGGACTAGTCTGATCTTATACACTTATATATACTAGACTATATAAGAGTACTCAGAGAGTATGAGCCACTAAGAATGATAAACTATAAAGAATGAAAGAGAGGAATGTTAAAGATAAAGGTACAAAGAATGAAGGGGTGGTCAAAGGAATGAGATGATGAAGTAAGGAAGGGTAGTAGTAAGAGTCAGTACACATATAGTCTATAGACAGTACCTCTAAGGGACAGAGGTCCTAAGTTCTGGTACAGAAGAGTGTAGAACCCTTGGAACTGAAGGTACAAGAGTAGAGAACTGTAACATCACCCCTCCTCTAAAACCAATCACTCTGATTAGTAAACATTAGGCTTAGTTAGTAGCTCAGACATAGGTTAGAACAGTATAGTGTAGAAATCTGTAAGGTAGAGTTAATACAGAGCACCTGGGTGAAGTTAATAGAAGTCTTGGATTGTCTTAGGAGTATGAGTAAGGTTCTTAGCAGGTTCCCAAGTGTGTTCTTCAACTAGGTACCCTTTCTAGTAAATAAGGAATTTGAGCTTTCTGTGTAGTAGTTTAGTATCTGTTATGTACTCTACTTTGTACTCTGGTTCAGAACTAATGAGTTCTGGTAGAGGTAGTAGGGGTCTTTATTGTAAAGGAAAACCTGGATTATAGTACTAAGACAATAGAGCCTTGTTGAACACTGAGTGTATGTACTTCTATGTTGCTAGAAGTTGGAGTTTGTATATAGAGACACTAACCTTCTTTTCAATAATGAAGGGTCTGAAGCACTTGTTGTCCAACTTCTTCATTAGACAATCTAAGGTCAGATTAGTAGCTTCTAGTATAACTTTGTTACTAGACTAGTAATCCTTGGCTGCAGATCTCTTCTAATTATAGTTCTACTTTATAACCTGTACTACCTTTTCCAAAAGAGCTTGTACATCCTTTCTAGCCTTGTGTATCTGTTCTATAAAGTCTGTTACAGATTCAGAACTACTGTTCCAGTTCAGAACTGTCCCCTAGTATGGATGTCTCTCATAATTGAGGAAGAATAGGGACTGTCCTGTTGTAGAGTGTTACTAGTTATTGTACACAAATTCTGTCAGAGCTAACTATTCAGACTAGTCCAACTACTAATGATTGATGAACATCTAGAGATAGAGCTTGATCTCCTGATTGACTTGCTTAGTTTGACTATTAGTCTGTAAGTAATATGTAGTAGAAGGGTTCCCTTAAATTCTGAGAAGCATATACAAGTCCTACATGAATTTTGACTCAAATTACAGTCCACAATCATGAATAAGCTTCTGAGAGAGTCTATACAACTAGAATACATGATTCTGATAAATATGTACTATACTTTCAGAAGTGAGTTCTGTTTGAGTCAGAACTATATAGACTTACTTAGAGAATTAGTTAACAATTATACAGATAGTGTTATAACCCTAAGACTTGGGTAGCTTACTAATCAGGTCTACCAAGACTTCTTCCTAAGAGTGATCTAGAATCTAATACAAATGTAGGGGAGCCTAAACCCTTGTCTAGTAAGCCTTAGTCTATTAGTATGTATTATAACCAGTTATGTACTTTAGGATTTCCCTCTACATTCTAGACTACTAGTAGTTCCAAGTAATAAGTTCCTATGTTTTGTGTTAGTCTGGATGTCCTACAGTTGGATTGTTGTAATAAGCTCAGACAATGTCCTCCTACAGTTTCTAATCCTTTAGAACATACAGTTAGCCTTCCTAGTAAACCTGTCTATCCTTATCCTTCTCTCAATCTCTAGCCTGCTTCTCTAGTTACTTTACTATAACCTGGTTCTGTGTGTGTTTTAAAGCTTACTGTATGTAGGTAACAAAGTCAACATTCTTAGATTCAAGTCAGATCTCTTAGATTATCTTAGACACAAAATAGGAATTGTTTAGGAGAACAAGATTTTTGTTATTATTCTCCCCCCTTTTATAACTTACTTGTCTTGAGAGTAAATCAGCTTTCATCATTTGTGTTCTGGGTTTGTGAGTCAGTACAAAGTTGTAGTCCTACAGTTCTAACATCTAGCAGGCCTAACAGTAGTTGAGCTTCTAAGGTGCCTAGAAGTACTAGAGATTAAGGTGATCACTCTAGATCTTAAACTTCTGTACTATACTAAGAAGATATTGACACTACTCTTCTAGAGAACAGACAATCACAAAGAGTTCCTTATTATAAATAGGGTAGTTCTGTTCTGTTGTAGAGAGGGATTCTAATTGGAACACTATTAGACACTACTTTCTGTCAATAAACTAGGACAGTACTACTCTATTTATAAAGTTGGAAGAGTTGGCTTTGACTCAGAACTTGTCTACAACTGTTAGAACTGCTAATACAGGCTTACTAGTAATAGTCTGTTTAAGAGACTCAAACACAGACTACTACTGATTGTCCTATTACTAAGGAACATCTTTGCTAGTAAGATTGTGAAGGGGCCAGGCAATAGTACTAAAGCCTTGAATAAAGTATTAGTAGTAGTTTGTAAACTTAAGGAATGCTTGAACCTGTTTCAGGTTCTAAGGTTGTAACTAGTTCCAAACTATAGTTACCTTTACTAGATTCATACAGACCTCTCCTCTACTGATTACAAAGCTTAGATAATCTACTAACTCCTGTGTAAAAGAGTACTTTACTTCTTAGAGGAATAGCTTATTATCTTAGAGTTACTATAAGACTACTCAGATCAGTCAGTAATAATACTCAACTGTCTGA